CCATACAGAATTGTTAGAAGATTTTTCTGTTTATATTCAGAAGAGAGGAAGCACAGATACAATACATGTTGATTTCTTTAAATGTAACGAATCCTGGAAGTAGCTCTGTTAAAACCTAAAAAGCCCTTGCAGAAATTAGGAGCCAGTGCCATATTGCAGACCAGAGCACAATTTGTCATTTGTGTAGGCAGAAATGTTTCAAATTTGGAGTTTTAACTTCCGTTTACTGCCCTGCCCACTAAGGCTGTGACTGGCAAAGGGCTGAATCCTTTCAAGGTCTTCAAAGGAGTGGAAAGAGCCCAGCCCTGTGCAGGGGGCAGCCGGGGAAGCAGAGACATCGTCTGCCTTGGGGTTTATCCAGCTCAGTGCAAGATCTGACTTCACTTGAAAGGGTTTCTTGTTGTTTGGGTGGTTTTGTTTTCTCCTCAGTATTTGTTTGTTCTACTCAAGCTGAAGCTTGGGAGTTTCTGCTAAATCCAGGCACATCACGGGGGTCAGATCTCCTGCTTGCAAGAGTAGTGGTTGTGTCCTTAGGGTCTTTGCCCTGTTTACATCTGGGTGAAGCAGTGCCACCTTGCTTGGGTTTGCTGTTTTTTCCTGGAAAAGCCAGTGTGCCTGTTATTTGTGTGACTGCTTCATTTCTTACCATTTAAACTTGCAGCCATATCAGTGTACGTGTCAGAATAATCTCTAACATTTGATCTGTGCTTGAAGGAAAAAAATAATTAAAAAAATAGCCCCAAATCTGTGTCTGGCGGTGGTAGCTGTAGTACCCATTAAGTGACCCATCTTATTTGTTACTTAGAACTTTTGTGGCTTTTTAAAGAGCTAAACCGTTTCTGGGATGCACAGCACTGTATAGTTTAAACGATAAATGACTGTGCTGGGGAAGACGCAGGCAGCTCTGAGAGTGAAGGGGGTGTTTGCTGATATTTCTGTTCGCACGGCTGCATCCTGGGGAAGGCTGGGCTTGTTTGAGCGTGGCTGTTAATGGCAGGAGTGTGAGTTGCCCTGGAGCCCGTGTATCCCTCTGGTTATTCCCTCTGGTTAATCCGCCCCTCTGGAAGCGGGAGCTCGTGGCAGCCTCCATCGCGAGTAGATTCTACCGCTGGATAGAAGCGAAATCGGACTGGAGTTGACGTTTTAACTAGCAATAAAGTCACGATAAAGCCAAGCTGACCCCCTGTGACGCTGCTCCGTGCTCACGTACCTCATTGAACCCGTAATCGCCGCAGGAGGAACGATGCGTGCACACGGGGAAGCACTTAGAGGCTGCCGTGGGCTTTGAGAGCCTGTTGTGCAGCAGCCAGCGAGTCTCCTTGTGCTAATCCCATTGGAAACGTGGCCTAGGGCTGCCTGCGCGGGGGGCGGTTAGTCCTGTCCTCAGGTGACGTGATCGTCTCTCGCCTGCTCCACGAGCGGCCAAGACCAGAGCACATTCCTTGAAACCGTGTTTAGGGCCACGTCCTGCCTCGTTGGGAGCCTGTGACTTCAGCAGCCAAAGCAGCGCGCAGCATTTGTACAGTAACTCCCCCTCGCTGCTGTAGTCACTGATTCCAGAGCCTGTGTATCACTGCTGGCAACTTCTGAGGTCTTTGTGAAGGCACTTGATGAAAAACTCGTGTTTGTCTCGGTTGCTAATACCCAGTCCTCGAGTCAACATCTGATCATTAATTTGTATATTCAATCTAGCACGTTTGGTATTTGGTACTCCAGAACAGCGTTTGTAAAGTACCATTTTATCACGATTGTATTGCTCATCGCAGCAAGAGGTTACAATTAGAATCTAAAATTGGCAGGTCTTGCATCTCAGCAGCAGTCCTCCGAGCTTTTACACGTATGCATAACGTCAAGATCACGCTCAATAAAGCAGTTAAAATTCAAAGTGTAGGACCTAATGTTATAGGAAATCATTATCAGTTCTCTCTTACCATATGGAAGTCCTTGGGGTTATTTGCAACATGTAAAGGTAAATGTATTTGCAAGTCCATCCGATCGTGGGAGCATTAGGCCAGCAGCATGTTTTGAAGTCTCTGCATTAGCAGCCAAGTGCAAATTAATCTTGGCTCTGTGCTGGGCAGCAGTAACTGCCTGTTGCTGGAGGTGGCTGCTGCTTCTGCCACCTCCTGAGCAGGCTTGTGGCTACAGCAGGTAGGAGCTGAGATCCAGGCTGAACAGGAGAGCAAAATACGGCTTGAAATCCGTTATGTGTTTGGATGTGGTTTCCTCTGGCAAGCAGAACTTGGGAACTGGTGACCTAAAGCTGTGGTTGCTCTCCTGAGGTTTATGGAACTACTTTGCCTGTTATTAAACAAAATTCGTGCCCAAATTATACTATATATTGTAGAAATACTTACAGTGTATTCACTCAGTATACCCTGTAATTATTAATACGGTGTAGTTTTACGTTTTCTCAGGAGACTGGATTGTACATTGTATTTGATTAAATATTGAATATGTTTGAATAAGTGATGTGTCTGATTTGGCAGCCGGTGGCCTGTGACAAACAGCCTCCCCGTTCCCGACAGGGCCGTGTTTGACCTTTGCAGGCAGCGTTCCCGCTGCTGCAGAGGCGCTTGGGGCGCAGACCGGAGGAGGCGCTGGCTCCGGATAAGTCACCTGGGAGGCAGGAAGGTGCTGCAGGAGGAACCGTAGCTTTCCTAGCGATTCCAGAGCTGCCGGCTCTACCTCTTCCTCTTGGGAATGCCGCTGTGGGAGCGTGCCCGGAACGGGCCGGTGCTCCGGTGTGGGCTCATGGCCAGCCCCTCAGAGAGCTCGTAAATTATTATTATTACAGCTTGCTTCATATAGAATAGTAGTCCACAGCTTATTTCAGTGCCTGGTACATTTTATATGTGGCTCTTCACGTTTTTTGGGAGATTCCAGTGTCCGTGCTGGCTTCCGCTTGGGAAGGGGGCGGATTTGCATGGGGGACGTCCCCAAGCCCCAGAGCCCCCTTGCAGCCGTGGCCACGTGGGGACCGTAGCCACCACCAGCAGCAGCCTAGACTAGAGGTGGTTGCTGAAGGTAGGTAAGTTAGGATGCCTTTGTATCTGTAATTGTATTCTAGATTTAAGTATTTTGACATGTTCCTGGTTGTTTGGCAGCTTTCCTGCTCTAAAATATGGTTTCCTAATATACACAAAATCTGTGTTTTTCTCTGTTTAAATTTGTCTTGAATTCATTAGGCATTATGTTTTTCCAGTGAAATTTTCTTTGTAGCTCAGAGTTCCAGCTCTCTGTTCATGCTGTTGTGTATTTTACAAGGATGTATATTGGAGATATGGCAGAGAATACCTTTCCCCCAAATAAATGTTTGTTTCTGCTCATGCAGCTCAAGCCTCCAGCCATTATTCCAATGGGAATATACTAAAAATACCACGGCTCAACTGTACCCTTGTGTAATCCTAACAGGAAGGGCCATTTTGGTTGACATGTAGATGATTTAGATTTACACACTCCAAATAAAATGCCAGACAAATCTAAGGGTCAGGGCCCTTTGTCTTGCCGAGCACTTAGATGTGTTTTTAACAATATGCACATGTTTGTTAATGTGGAAAGGAATGGGATCCCTGTTGCTTTTGTTTCAGCTTAAAGGAAATGCTCTTTGCAGAGCTCTGGCTTTGCAGCACCGCCACAAAACGGGTCTCCCTTTCTGTCCTCTCACTCTTCGCTTACACGTTTGGTCATTTGTTCAAACATACACTTTCTGTTAAAACAATGTGGGGTTTTTTGTTTGTTTGTATTTGTGTTTTCTGTCTGTGATTCTTAAAATCAGTAGCTTCATGCTGATGATGAGCATTAAAACATATCTTTTCTTCTAGCCTGAAACTTTTGAGCATCTTTTTGTCAAGCACCCTGAAGCAATGTCATTTGAGCCTCTTCTTCTGGAGCCAGAAATAGTGCTGCAAGACATCAGTGTCACTAAAGCATTGAAAACAGAAGATGCGCAGGAGTTTTTGGTAATTGATTCGATGTTTACAAAGATTCAAGACTCTGGCCGAGACTCTGCTTGTTCGAGCAGCCCTTTCAATAGCGACAGCTTCTCTGAGAGCCCCCACGGTGGCAAAGGCAGTGGAGAAACGGCGCGGCAGCCCAATGTCAAGTACGCCACGGTCATCAGCACGTGCAGAGCGGGTGGGCTGTGCGAGCAGGACGGGCGCCCGCGCAGCGCCGCGCGGGACGACGCCGCGGGCGCCTGCTCCACGAGACCCTGGGACCTGGGGAACGGGGCTCTGCTGCTGCTCCCCGATCAGCGCCACGGGCAGCCCGGCAACACGCTCTCCCTTTCCCTGGTTTCTTCAGAGGGATTTTCAGAGCCTTCAGAGCAGGATGATGCTTTCACCGATGGCGACGGTCCCGAGCGGAGCCTTTATTACCTAGGGATAACAGCGTTTGAGAAGAGAGAAAATGACATTTTTTTAACAGAAAGTTCGGGCGTCCTGTGTCAGTTCCACACAACTGATGTGCTCAAAGATCTGGGTTTTCTTCAGAGTGCCTCTCCTAATTTCAATGCTTTTCTCCAAAGTAGCCTTAAATACAAAGCCCTCGTGCCATACGTGCCACAGTTTCAGATGGCTGCTGCCAAAGCACAAGAGACTACAGAGAACAAATGCTAACTCATTGCACCAAATGGATACCATTTATACTGTTAAATGTTGCTGTGTTTCCCCTATGGTCGCCTCCTCTTTCCAGGAGCTCTCCTGTTTGGAAGCTGGGCGATTAAGTCTGTTCTCTATAGACTTGGTCTATAGTTGACACTCAACTAAGTCAACTAAGACTAAGTCTGTAGCTGAGTGTAAGGGTTTTAGTAGGAAGAAATTCCATTCCTTGGCCTGACTTGCAAAGGTGGGGCCTTGGGGTAGGTGTTGGCTGTGTTCAGGGTCGCTGCTGGTGCCAACCCGCCTCTCGTTGCTGCCTGTCGCATGTGGGATGAGACCCCTGTGTGGACTCTGCTCGCGCTCCGCCGGGATGGGACCCCCGTGCGGGCTCTGCTTAAGCTTCGTCCTTGGGCTCCATGTGAGGACAGAGGCTCTGAGCTCCCCGCGCAGCCCCAGGGCCGTGGTGCAGAGCTCGGCACCATCCACGTGTCCTGGGATGTGACAACAGCCTGGGACATGAGCTGCGGCTGTCACAGGCCCTGCTGTGGTCATTTTTCTCCCAAACTCTCGTGTATTCGCTGCTTAGTTGACATCTGTGTTAAATTGACCTTGTTTTAAAAAAGAGGAGGGAGGAGGGTGAGCAGATGGTCCCCATTAAAGAACCAGTCTGAATCCTGGGTTTGGCTTGTTGAAAGGGAGCCTGTGACCAAGGAAGGTCACAGGCCTGTTGTTTCATTGTCCCTTTCGATGTAAAATGACGATATCTAGCGATGGCACCAAAGAGCTTTAAGAGGAGCTGCAAGGTGGGAACCAAGTGTTGGGCAGGGCGTCAGTACAGAAAATGCTCCCTGCAGAAGAGCCTGTTCCCGTGGCTGAAGCTTTTCAGTGGTGCAAGAAGAGGAAGAGAACCAGCATTCTTGTGGCTGTGCTAATTGCGGGGTGGTACCCAGGTAAAATGATGCGCTTGGAAGTACAAGTTCCACATTTTTGGAACCGTTGTTAAACATGAGATCCTAGCACAAACGGTACCGCAGTGAGACGACTCTCTTTTCCAAAGCCTTTCACAGGAATCCACAGTGAAAGAGGCAGTAATGTGATCCACGTGCAGTCCAAAGATGCAGAAGAATCCTGTACTTTTGTTCTTGGCTGAGCTGCTCTGTCTGTGTGGACTTGGGGAGGTCTCATCATCTTCCTAAGCTCTGCTCAACCCATCTGAAAAGGTTCAGATACGACGAAAATTGGATCTTGCATCCCAGCTCAATTTCAGAGAGAAATAAAAACACACTTGTTCACAAGCCAAATATGTTCTATTTTATAGTTAGTGAATATTTTTGTATGCATACTTTTTCAATTAACTGTTTTGAAGAGCTAAGAAAGGATGCGCACACAGATGAAAATACTGTGTACTGCAAAGTGAAATACCCATTAAAAATTACTTGAGTGATTTAACACAAACAGCCCCAACTCTAGGTGGTAGGGGGAGCACAGAACTACTTCAGTGTGTGAGCGGTAAGTAGTTATCACTCGTGTTCTCTTCCTGATGTGCATCCCACGGGCTGGAACGTCCCCAAGGTTGGAGGATGCAGCGAGGTTGGTCCCCCCGTGGCGCCCCACAGACCCTCCTGGTGCAGCGGAGCGTTGGGTGGAAGGAGCAGCCTCCAGCACATCAACTTTCTCCTCGTTACCCCCAGGCTACAGGAGCAAGGCGGGCGATGGGGACGGGGTTGTGGAGCTGCTGCCCTGCTCTAGCCCCGTCACTTCATGT